GCACAGTATGGAGATGTGTTTGGCTGTCACTACTGCCTTTTAGCAGGTGCTGCTAAATATTCTACAAAGCACAGGACACTCAGAGACAAAAAACTATTTGGTTCAAAGTGTTAATTTTGTTAAGAAACTCTCAGTTAATGTAGCTTCAATCTTCTGAGTTTTCATCTTAGTCTTCATCATTTGCACATTGTTATCTACTAAGATTATGCAATGATGAAGTGTTTTTTTTTTTCTTTTTATGCTCCCAAATGAGTCACAAGAGCAATGTCAGGTTGCCTGTGCTGTCATCATGCGCCCATTCCTTTAGGGTTCAGTGAGTGCATGAGGCCAACAGCAGGGGAGAGTCAGTACTGAGTTAAAGCCCCAGGCACCCCGTGACCACTGGCCATGACTGGCACAACTGCACTCAAGACCACACCTTCCAGGATCTTTACTGAACACTTGGATCCAGGTATGACCTTGACTCTTGGGGTCAGCTGTGCACCCAGTTGATTCATTTCCTGTATGGGTGGGCACTGCAGGAGCCCAGCCCATTTCAATAATTCCCAGTCCGACCCTTATCTCAGCTCTCTTGAAATTCTGACATCTCGTGTGTGGATTAGCTTGGAAAACAAACTACACAAATACCAAACTGTTGTCTGCACTGGTCCTCCAGGCACTCTGTTCCACACAGTGTAAAAACCAGCCAGCCTGCCACCCACCCCTAATCTGATTTTGAGCTCTACTTGCCTGTGAATTGACTCCTGGAATGTAGCAACATGCCTTCCAGATATGCAAGCACACCACCAAAAGGATAATTTAAAATGGAATTAAAATGCTTATTCTTATATGAAGTGGCTACATGTGGACATCTTCACTGCTTAGAGTAAAAAATCCATATAAAAACTTCACATCCACATTCTCTCCTTTGCTGCCAACTCCCACTCTATGTCAGAGGTTCTGTAGCGGGCTTTACCTTCATACACCACTCACAAAGCATAATCATGAATATTTTCAGTCATTAAAAGTATAACATATGTGTACATAGAAACTTGAAAATATTATTACATAAAGTGAGTAAAACAGTCTATTCAATATGATTGCAGCAATATTATTAAAAACCTATTTTAAAAAGTTTTAAAAAAACTCTTGATCTTGGAGTACCCTCTCCTGCATTGTCTAATGTCATAAATCCTTCTTAAAGTTTAAGCCTCCTGTTAAACACCCCTTGTTATATATGTTCTTTTGGTCAATCAGGACACACAAATTCTCTTGCCATCTTTGGTTTCATCTTAGTCCCCCTGTATTCTTATTTTCACATCCATCACCCATCATTGTCATGTTCCCAGTACCTACATTTCATAAATGTTGCAGCTCTGAGAGAGAGCTGTGTGCTATGCCCACAATTCAGGGAAGAATATTACATGTAACATCAACACTTCACCATTTTTCACCTTCTTTCTAGGGTGTGTTATTTGTGAGCACGAATTTTTTTATCAGAACTGAAAATAATGCATATTTTAGGCATAAATAAACCTTTGTGTTAAAAAAGTTCACAAGTCACTATCTAATTCTTTGTGTTTTGTTTGAAATCTATTTATAGCAATTTGATACACGGGAGACCACAAACTCAATTTTTCTCTTGAAGTCTTCTAGTTAATGAGATGGGAATTTATCACTGATCTCATTGCTAACTAAGACCAATTCTTTATTAACATAATCAAAATGCTTCTAAAGCATTTGCATGCTTCTCGATAAAAACATATTAGAAGCAGTGGGTCCCTGTCTTCCTAACTTCTGGGCAGTGCCCTGTGCATCTC